AACCATGTATCTGATAAGGGGATAATGACAAATTATATCAAGAAACTCGCACAACTCAGTAGCAAAAAACTAAAAAAAAACTGGATTAAAAATGGACAAAGAACCTAAATAGACATTTTTTTCAAGACACAAAAATGGTCAACAGATATATGAAAAAGTGCTCAAGTTCCTAATCACCAGGGAAATGCAAATCAAAATCACATATCACCTTCTATCTGTTATGATGGCTATTCTCAAAAAGTCAAAAGATAACAAGTGCTAGGAATGTAAATTGGTACAGCCCTTACAGAAAACAGTACATAGGTTTTTCAAAAAATTTAGAATAGAACTACCATATGATCTAGCATTTCTTCTTCTAGGTATATGCTTATTGCAGCATTGTTCCCAATAACCAAATATAGAAGCAAACAAAGTGTCTATCTGTGGATGGATATATGGATAAAGAAATTGTGAGATACACACACACATATGCACTGGATTATTATTTATATTTTAAAAATAAGGAAATTCTGTCAAGGACATTATGTTCAGTTAAAATAAGCCAAACACAAAAAAGAAAACAACTATATGATCTCTCTTATGTGAAGAATCTAAAAAAGGAGTCAAATACATAGAAATAAAATAGAACAGTACTTAGTAGCGGCAGGCATGTGGTAGGGAGGAATGGGAAGCTTTAGGACAAAGTACACAAAGCAGCAATTATATAGGACGAATAAGTCTAGAGATCTAAAGGGCAGCATGGGGACTTTATGTAATAGCATTGTATTATATACTAAGAATTTTCTAAGAGAATAGATTTTAAGTGCTCTTAGCACAAAAAGATAACTGTGAGCTGATGTATATGTCAAATTGCTCACCTGTAGCAATCACTTCATTATATATATGAACATTATATTATACATTTTAAATTTTGATAATAAAAAATGAAGAAGTATAAACTATATATAAGCTATAGTTTGGATCTTAGAACTTTTTTTTTTCTGGCAGCACTGGGGTTTGAACTCAGGGCCTTGTGCTTGCTAGACAGGCACTTTTGCCGCTTGAGCCACTCCACCAGCCCACTATGGATCTTAAATGTCCTTGAAAGGCCCATATGTTGAAGACTTGGTCCCCATGGTGGCACTATTTGGGAAGTGGGTGCAACTTTTAAGAGATGAGGCCTAATTGGAAGACTTTAGGTCATTGGGGGTGTACCCTTGAGGTGATTGTGGGATCACAGTCTTTTCCTCTTTCTTTTGCTTTCTGGCTATGAAGTGAGCAATTTTGTACTATAACAATTCCTGTCATGACATACTCCCTTGTCAAAGGCCTAAACCAATGGGGCCAACCAATTATGGACAGTACTCTCCAAAGCTGTGAACTAAAATAAACATTTTCTCTTTATAAGTTGATTATCTCAGATATTTTGTTATAGTGACAGAAAGCTAACCCATCTCACAAATGGAAAAAGCCATTACTGTCCTGCTGGAGTTATGTCAATGTCTTTAAGGTTAGGTTCACTGTCTAAGGAACAGTGTGGTTACTTCCTCTGGACTGCCAGGGATGCTGAATACCTCAAATAAATATTCATGATCAAAGAGTTCAGCAACTAATTTGAAAGGGGTCATTGTTGGAAAATGGTATAGGCTTTGTTACTTACTGAAACAATAAAGGGACAAAGAACATTCAGAAAGGTATAAGAACCATAAAGAAGAAAATTCTGAGAAATCAGTTCTATAAGAAAATATTAAGAGACTAGAATTATTCCTACTGAGAAGGTTGAGGGAGAGTTTTATTTTTTTAATAGGATTCACATAGAAGTAGATGTTGGCTCACAGCAGTTTGCATTTAAGAATCTCCCCAACAGTCATATGCACTTTATTATTCATGACACAATATGCTATAGATGCCACCCATCCAATTTGGAGGAAATACATTCCAATTTTGAGATTAGTATAAAGACTTATATTGTAATTTCTGGGTTTTTTTTTAGGACTGGGATTTGAACAAGGATCTCAATGCTTTCTAGGCAGGCACTCTACCACTTGAGCCACTCCAGCAGCCTTGCAATTTCTAATTTTTAAAATGTAAGCTACAGAAAAATTTATAATGTGCAAGAGCAGTAATAGAACAAATATTTCTGGATCACTTCCTCAAAAAGCTAAAGTATAACTCCAAATCCTTCAAAAGTCTTTAAAAAGATATCTTTTAAATTTCCACAGAAAACTACATGGTTATATTTGTGCATTTTCTATGCATTTGTACATTAATTAAATACCTTATTTTTAAAAATCCACATCAGAGAAGCCTATTTAAATTCCTTGGTTTCAAAAATGTGTGTTTCTTTACTTTCCTGTATTAAAATAAGATAGGGAAGTTAAAGAGTTTATATAGTTTCTAACTGTCATATCATATTTTTACTTAACAGGTCACTGTTGTCATGTTGTATTGTCTTCTATACATTTTAGAATTTTTTTATTATTCATTTATTCACATGTGCATATATTGTTTGGGTCAGTTCTCCCCCCTGCCCCTCTCTCTCACCCTCTCCCCTCTTCCCCGCTCAGTTCCAGGTAGGTCCTGTTCTGCCTTTATCAATAGTTTTGTTGAAGAAAAGAGACAAGCATAATAAGGAAGACAAAGTGTTTTTGCTAGTTGAGTTAATATAGAATGTTTTACATTATACAATGAACAAGTACATAATTCATAGTAAACTGAATATTATATTTTTCACTGAGTTAGTCCCTAACATCATTTCTAAAAGAAATTAAATTCAACCCACATAATTTTAACTTACATCTCCTTTCTCGGGAATCTAAGTGGTTAACTGCATAGATTGTGTGACTATGACCAGCTATGCACAGAAAATGGGAGCAACTAAAATAACACAGAATAAATTGGACTAATAGTACAGCCTGATGACTCATGTTAGAGAAAAGCACCATTTTCTAATAAAATTGTTAGATACTTGAGTGGGCTAAACAAACATAAAAAATGACTCCATGTAACATGGCATAATGGTCTTGATAAAGCTAAAAGTGGCTGATAATTTATGATTTTATGACTTAGCAATTGGACGCTTCAGATGGCACCAAATCACAGTGATATATCTCATATGTATTTGTCCAAAGGAGAGACATAACATCATATTGTAAAAAACTCAGAATTTGGAATTAGAATACCTTTTTCTTGCTATGTGAACTTGGATATGTTACTTAGCATATCCTAATCTCAGTTTTCAAAATGGGGGTGGTGTTAATAATAATGCCTACCTGACATGATAGTTGTGAGGGTCAAAGAATGGAAAACGCATTTGAAAGTACTTTATAAAATGTAAAAATTTATACAAGATTTTTATGCTTTAATGTTTTTGGAAAAGTCTGGACTTGGAGACTGCTTCAAAAAAGTAACCTGTTTATGATATGGTGCTACATCTATACCTAAAGTGTTTTGCTTGCTAACATAAGGCTCAGATATGAATAGTTTTTCCCATTGTGGAATTATTTCAAACCAAGTTGAGACTCCTGAGTCTCTGATTTTTATTACATTCTGGGTTTCTTAATGCCAAAATAAGAGTTTTTATCACTTGTGACTGCTATAAGTAAAAGTCTATTCAGAAAGACTGAAGTTAGAAGGACAGTAGGTCAAAACACAGTCAATTTTCCAGTAGACAGCAGGAGGAGGCAAGGGTGTTCGTTATGTTGGAAATTCTTTAAATTGTACAATTTCTTATCTTTTCTCTCTCTTTCTCTCTCTCTCTCTCTCTCTCTCTCTCTTTCTTTTCTTGTTTTCTGATGGAACTGGGGTTTGAACTCAGGGCTTCCTACATGCAAAGTAGGCTCTCTGATGCTTAAGCCACACCCACAGTCCATTTTGCTCTGGTTATTTTTTGGAGATGGGATCTTGCAAGCTATTTGCCTGGGCTGGCCTTGAACTGTGATCCTCCCTATCTCAGCCTCTCAAGTAGCTAGGATTACAGGTGTGGGCCACTGGTGCCTGGAACAAAAATTTTCTTTTTTAATATGGATTTGGGGCTATTTTGCCTTCCTTGATCCTTGAAACATGCTTTTCTTTAAGGCTAGACTTCCAGGAGAGAACCTGGGCCTAGATAATCTAACTGTATGACAATTTAGAAAGGCTTATTTTCCACTTTCACTCCCCACCTCAATGCTTTTCATGTCCTCATTAATACCCATTCACCCCAGGTACAGCTTGTGATAAGTATTACAAGTCTACTCAAAATTGCTGCCAGTTACTGCTTTATTTGGAACAGTAGCTAAAAACTACTCTCTGGTGGCTGGTATCAGCAACATAAGCAAACATGGCTGCACAGAAGTAGGCATGGTAACAGGTGGAGACAAAGAATAGAGTTAGTAATGGGGATATATGACATGACAACCTAACTTTCAATTCTTCACACAAAATCTTAAGATGACTCATTGACCTGGTGGAAGAAAGCTGGAAAGGTAAAAAAAAGGGCTTCCTTATTTTTCCTTTGCCCCTACTACATGCATATGCAGGTTTCCCACAGATGCCTCTTACTTTCTTGTGTATTTAAACTATTCCAAAAGGTAATGTATGTAAGACTTTAAAGAAAATTTAACTAATATGAATGAAGAAGGGTAGAAAAAAAGTGAACTGCTGCTCTTTGAATTAAAGCTTTCTACTCGAGCAAAACATGAGCGACCACCTAGCAGGATTGTTTACAAACATGCATAACAGTATTTATTATGTTTCTTGATTTATCTGACTAGTTATAAATCATGGTATCACAAAGCTGGTAAGGAGCCTCTTAAGCTTCCATCTAATGCTACCTAAGCTACCTGTGTTTGCTAAACAAATCTGGCCAGTCTGGCTATGCTTCCTCTCCTCCACCCAGAGGTCACTTAAGAGTGCGGCATGCTTATAAAATATCTCTGGACATTATTTGCTCACCACCCATTACATTGGTTATATTAACGTAGATCTTTTAGTTCTTGGTCTGCTGAGCATAGAAAAGACTTTCTTCTGAGACAACTCACCTCGATTGTCATCCTCATTGTCTTCCCAGGGTTCTTCATTTGCTAGCAGTGGATTCTGTGACTCATTCATAGACCTCATGGGGAAGGAGTGTCCATCACCAGGGCTGTGAGAAAGAAAGGCAGTGAGATTTTGGAGCAAAAATAGGCTTCTTTTGAGACAGAGTCTCACTATGTACCTCGGCTGTCCTCAAACTCTTAATCTTCCTGCCTCTGCCTCCCAAGTGCTGGGACTAACATGTCTATCTCTGACATAGACTTTGTGAAGGTAATAATCCTCTTAGAAACAGGATGTAATTATGTATTGGGGCTATTTTGTCTTGGGAGTTCTTAGGAATAATTAGGCTTCTTGTCTAAAGCCATCATGAAATAAGCTCTTACAATAGCATCATCTAGTTACTGTTTGCTCACAATTTCCATATCTTGTTTATCTGCATCAGTATTAACCATTCTTGTTTGTAAGAAACTCTTTAACTTAATTTCCACAATGCAATATGCACAGATGGGAAGTTTCAGAAATTTAATTATGGTGATCTCAATTTATATTCCATTAAATTATTGCTTTGATTCTAAATTTTTAAGGAAGATGAGTAGACTCAGAATCATTTAATACAGTGGAGAAAAGTTGCTGTAAATTGGTGATAGATAATGCCCTAGTATCCTGTTATTTATTTGGTTATTAGGAACTCCAGGAAAGAGTCATAATAAGGTATCTCTGGAGTGCAGGTTTTGGAGCAATTTTCTACACATGGGTTTACTTTGTGGCTATCTCTGGTAGGATAGGGTCACCTCCCTATCCTGGTCATTATCAGATTGGATGAATTAGAACAAGTTACAGTTTGAATGCTTGAGTCTAATATCTGAATTCATTCCAAATTTAAATCTCAGTGACTTTTGGATTATTCATATGCTATTATCTATGACTTTTCTCCTGTTCATGAATGTGGTTAATTAAAAGTTTACAGGTTTTTCTCCTAAAATTAATGAACCAATAAAGAACTGGGCAAGTGAACTAAACAGAACTTTCTCAAAAGAAGAAATTCAAATGGCCAAAAAACACATGAAAAAATGCTCACCATCTCTAGTAATAAAGGAAATGCAAATTAAAACCACACTAAGATCCACCTCACCCCTGTTAGAATAGCCATCATCAGCAGCACCACCAACAACAGGTGTTGGAGAGGATGAGGGGAAAAAGGAACCCTAGTCTACTGCTGGTGGGAATGCAAGCTGGTGCAACTATTCTGGAAAAAAATTTGGAGACTTCTTAAAAATCTAAACATAGACCTGCTATATGATCCAGCAATCCCACTCCTGGGGATATACCCAAAGGAATGAGACACAGGTTATTCCAGAGGCACCTGCACACCCATGTTTATTGCAGCGCTATTCACAACAGCCAAGTTATGGAAACAGCCAAGATGCCCCACTATCGATGAATGGATTAAGAAAATGTGGTATTTATATACAATGGAATACTACTCAGCTATGAAGAAGAATGAAATCTTATCATTTGCAGGTAAATGGATGGAACTGGAGAACATCATCCTGAGTCAGGTTAGCCAGGCCCAGAAGACCAAAAATTGTATGTTCTCCCTCATATGCGGACATTAGATCAAGGGCAAACACAACAAGGGGATTGGACTTTGATCACATGATGAGGCAAGAGCACACAAGGGAGGTATGAGGATAGGCAAGAAACCAAAAAAAAAAAAAAAACCAACAAGATAGCATTTGATGTCCTCAATGCAAAGGAACTAATGCAGAAACTTTAAAGCGACAGAGGCCAATAGGAGAAGGGGACCAGGAACTAGAGAAAAGGTTAGTTCAAGAAGAATTAATTTGGAAGGTAACACATATGTACAGGAAAGCAATGTGAGTCAACTCCCTGTATAGCTATCCGTATCTCAACTAGCAAAAACTCTTGGTCTTTCCTATTAATGCTTATACTCTCTCTTCAACAAAATTAGAGATAAGGGCAAAATAGTTTCTGCCTGGTAGCAAGGTGGTAGTGGGGGAGAGGGAGGGGATGGGGAAAAGGGAGGGGGCAGAGGGAAGGGGGGAGAAATGACCCAAACATTATATGCACATATGAATAAAAGAAATTTTTAAAAAGTTTACAGGTTTTATTTGTAGTACTGTATAGAGAATGTAAGTATACTGATTATAAGTGAATAGACTATGACTTTTGTTTTTTTTTTTCATGCCAGTGAAGACTCATTTTAGACTTCCCTTTGATGTGATGATGGTGTTTGGGAGTGTGTGTGTGTGTGTGTGTGTGTGTTACTAATTACTAGTAACAGTTTTTAATTAACATTACCCACTGACAAATTTTGTCTTGTGAGTTTCAGCCAGGAGAATTGAATATATCACATCTTAAACAAGCCTGGGAAACACTTAACTACTATAGAGGAAGTATCAGGGCAATAAGTGAAGGGGAGGAGAAAAATTTCCTTAATTACCACCTGATCAGAATAAAGTTTCCTCAAATAAGTGAATATGAATATCTCCCTGTCTGAGGAGTGGACCTAAAGAGAGATGCAAAAAGGGCTGTAAATGAGCTGCATTCTAGAACTAGTTTAGTTGAAGATGGTTTAATCTGGTTCAACAAAGTCACTTTGGTGCTACATGTTTCTTATTCACTGTTCCACTTACATTCTTGTTGCAGTCCTAAGAATTACTACAATCTCTAAATCAATCTCTGTTCTTGCTTTTTATTTTAATTTTTCCTCCATAAAAATAATATTAGTATTTCAGTCCAAATATGAAAAATAGAGAAAAGAAAAATAATTTCTAAGACTATTGCTCTAACAACTTTTATAGCATTTTTGGCATATTTTTCTTCTGTTGTTTTTATTATACATATGTATTCGCTATACTATTTTGGATTTTACAATTTTCATTTAAAATATAGTAAGCATTTTCCCTTTTGTGACATAAACATTATAACCATTACTTTTGACTATATAATTTTCCATCTGGTAGATATACAAATATGTTCCGTATTATCTGGTATTCAGGCTTTTTAGAACTATTGGCTGTAAAGAATGCTGTGGTTAACATTTTAAAAGCTTGTTTTAGAAAAAAAGAAGACAGAGGAAGGTGAGAGTTGAAAAGCAGCATCCCCCAAGAAGTATGATGGCTCATTTTCAGACAATGATATAAAAGATGCTTTCTCTCCATGATTCCTGACTGAACACCAACAACTAAGCTACCCTGTGCAGAGAGTCCAAAATTTCAGAAGCTAAAATATTTGACAAAACTAACCTAAATCTAATAATACTAAAGTTTGGCTTCTGTATCCTTTACCCCTTGGATCTACAAAGCATGTCAGTGGTAGTAGATTAGAACATCTCTATCTTTTGGTAGCAGTTTAAAATATGAATTAGTTTTCACAACCCCTATCCTTTAGAGGTTGTACTAGATGTCCACATTTAATATTTAAGAATGTTAGTAAGAGTAAATTACCATCAAAGGAAGAACAGGTACACAAGTATCATCATGAAATTGGATTTGTGGTTATGTGAAATGAGAACACAAAGTGAACAGGCTCAGTGTATGAAATTGAAGTAAATAGATTGCCAAGGGGGAAAATCTTGTTTTAATATTATTATTATTATTGTTTGGACTCAAACTTACCATTCTCCTGCCTCAGGCTCCTGAGTGCTTGGATTACAGGCATGAAACAGTATGCACAGCCTGTGATAAACATTTTTGTGCATAGTTTGTCTCTATCTTTAGGACAGATTCCTAGAAATGTAATCACTGGGACATCAGACATATAGATTCTTATGGTTTTTGACACATATTACAAAGTCCATTTATAAAAGATTGGTGCCAGTTTACCCTGCCATAAACAAAGCATGAGAATGTCTATCTTATACTTTCACCTCATGATTTATCTTTACAAACCTAAAAATGAAAAATATGGGAAATAGGGTCTCATATTGGACTAACATCAGCTGAATACTGTAATCACAATTGAATTTGCTACTTTACGGCATGGTCCAGCATCAGTCTCTTTTAGTGGTAATTATTACCTACCTGGACCCTATAGGTATTAACCAGAACTTCTTATTATCTCCAAACACTTGCTGGATATTCTTGATGAAGCCAAGATTGAACCCATTTTTCTCTGGGCCACTTGTAAACACTGGAGTGCAGAAGGCCTCTAGGACAGGATAGGGGAGTTGAAGAAGCGAGGAAGAAAGAAATAAAGGAACAAATTTCAGCAGTCTTGATTTTACATTTCTTTAAGATTGTGACTTGGTTCTATGATATCTTTTTGCTATGTTAGCATAGTCCCTTTATTCTTAGTTTTTGCTAAATTACTCAGTAAAAATCAGTTTAATTACTTAACAAAAGGCAAGCTTGTTATCTTTTTACTCAATATAAAGAATTAACACTTTTAATTTTAAAAAGGCAGGAAAACACATGATGGTAGAAATAATAAGCAGCCATGGGGGTATTTGTAATTCTGGATTTAAGGAGCAAAGGAACAGATCCGATAGCATTTTATTTGAATCTAAGTGGCAACAACAGCCAAATGGTATCCATCTGTAGAGCTGAGACCAAAGTAATGACAAATAAAGAGCTAGTATTTCAGAAATGAAGATGTTCAAGCTCAAGACTGCAATATAAGAAATCAAGTTCTACTACAGATAAAATGTCCATGGGTGAACTATAATCACCTCAAAGACTATGAGGAATTGAACCAGGTTAGTGCACACTAGTTTTTGATACACATTTATCCTATTAAGCAAACTCTTTCACTGTTGGGTTCTGGCTGCATATGACTATTTCCCATGTGTCCTTTGTTTTCAGACCCATTATCATGAAGCTTTTAGTACTTTTCCTCTTTGTTGCTGATCTCTAAGCCAAATATGATACTTTACCTCCCTAACAACAATGTACTACATATATATTTGATTTAGAAAATGGGTACAAGTACTTTCTTAACTGTTAGTGTTATTAGCAAATGAATTCCCAAAATGTAGTGGCTTTAGGAATAAACTTTCCTAGCTAAACATTCAACATTTGAAAACTTTCTCCTCACTCCTTGTGTATATAGACCATGTAAATATTTGCTTCACCATAAATGAAAAAATTATTGCACTAGAATCCATCAGAAATATAGTTCTCCATATAATAATAAGTTTAAAGTATTGAGTGGCAGCAAAAAACATTCATTTCTTTTACTTATTTTCTAAAGGCTCCCTTGTTCAATATGTTTATCTCATTCCCATGGTTCCTACACAGCTCCTTGATTATTTTAGATGTTCAATTATTTGATTCTTTTTCAAGAGTTTTGGCATTCTTGTTATTGGTTTGAATTTTTTGAGACTGTTTTGGGATGTGCTCAATAAGTGAGATTCTTCTACCATTATTGACTCTTTACCTCCTCCTTCTGATGTTTCTTTCTATACTGATCCTTTCTTTCATTCCTTCATGTGAACACCTTTTAGAAATCTCCTGAGCTGTGAATCTGGGGAGCTATTACCCAATATGTACTATAAAGAACTAGGGAAATTTTTGGTTTTGTGTGGGATTTCACTCACTAATGTTCTCTTTGATCTATAAACTTTGTTCATGATGGTTCTCCAGTTTGGTATAATATATTTTCATCTGTTTCAGCTTGGAGGCAGACGGATGCCATTACAACTAAAATACTCATTGTAAGGCTTTCCCTTCCTTGGGAATAATCTATAGGTCATTTTTTTATTGTTTTATTATTCATATGTGCATACAAGGCTTGGGTCATTTCTCCCCCCTGCCCCCACCCCCTCCCTTACCACCCACTCCGCCCCCTCCCTCTCCCCCCCTTCCCCTCAATACCAGGCAGGATCTATAGGTCATTTTGATATACATTAATATGTTTTTTCCTAGTCTTAATATTCAATCTTACCTAAGGTAGTTTTGTTTCTGCTGACAAGCCAACAATGGTAACCAAACAGAATCACAAGGCTGACAAAAAACATGCAGGCCACAAAAAGGAGAAAAAGGACATGGAACTTAGAGCGAACACTGGGTAATTCCCCCTAGAAAAGAAACAATGAACAAATAAAACAAAAGATTAAAGTGGTAAAGGTTGGCACATTTTCCATATAGATTAGTAGTTTTTCACATATATAAAAATCTAGCTATAATTTTAGAAAACAGATTTTGTAATTTTAACAAATTGCTCTTTCTATTGATGATCATGCCTCATTATGGATATGGTCTTAACCTACAAAGCCTAAAATAGATCATTGCTTTAGTGCAGTTTAGTGTAAAATAGAATATATAATGTACCAATTAGAAAAGTGTAATGTGAAAAGAGTATAGTCAGGTCATAATTGGCATGAAGCTCATATTCCATATGGTTCATCCTCTTGTCTCAAGATGGGCTATTCTGGAATTCTGTATATGTCATGTTTTCTTGGACATATATGTGTTAAAAATGTTACAGTGATGAGCATAAGAAATTAAAATGATGCAGAATTTTTAAATGTCTTACCTAAAGTCATGACCTAATTTTGAAGATGCTGTAAATTTTATGTGATTATTTTTTAAAGCTAAAGAATGTGCTGTGGAACATACATCCAGTGGAATAGCTTTTTAGACAGTAAAAATCAAGCAGGATTTTATAAACAATTGCAAAGGTAGGTGGCTAAAGATTTTTATAGTTATCTGGTATATCTTATTTTACATGTGGCACCATTTTTTACATGCGATTCTAGATTAGAGTGAATGTTCTAAAGTTCAATAACATGCATAGGTATGTAGCATTTTGCTTTCTGAAGCAGTTTTGGAGTATAGAGTTAGAAAAATGACTTACTTATTTCCTTCTTAAGTGAAGTAGACCTTAACTTCCAAATGATCCTATTCCAGTTTTAGAGGAGAAAGTTAAACATTGGCAATACTTGGTAAGTTTAAGCAGTACAGATTTTTTTCTTTTCAAAGAAGATATTCATTTTTTAGGAAGAGGATATTGGGAATCTTCCAAGGTATATGTATTTGAAGGATGAAGATAAGAGGAACTAAGCATATCAGATACTTTCATCTGAGGGGAGGTGTGGGTGAAATTTTCATAGGAGCAGAGCAGCCCAGAAAGTAGCTACTTCAAGGACTTCAACCATTAGGAACCTTTATTGGAAACTCTACTTTATTAAATGATGTCTCCACAAAATCTTGGCCTAAGCACACAAATTGGATTGGATTGGTTTTGTTTGTTTGATTTGGAATTCACAGTAAGATGCCAGATATCACTTTGTTAGTGTTTTTTTTTGTCTTCACTGAGATTTTTGCTTTCATATTCTACATCAGTATGTTTTCTACAGCATTTAAAGCTTCTAAATTTTACTTCTAAATTTTTTCACATTTATTTATGTATTTATTTATTGGTGGTTTGAACTCAGGGCCTCACACTTGCTAAGCAAGTACTCTATAGCTTGAGCTACCTCTCCAGCCCCTTTTTGTTTTGGGTATTTTCGAGATAGGGTCTCATGAACTATTGCCTGGACTGGCTTTGAACCGCAATCCTCCTTACCTCTGCCTCCCAAGTAACTAGGATTACAAGCATGAGCCACTGGCACTTGGCTCATTTTTCACATTTTAGTATTTTTTTAAAAAAATTGTTGTGCTGGGTGTACATTGTGGCATTTATAAAAGTTCTTCCAATATATCAAATATATCATAGTTGAATTCACCCCCTCCATCATTCTCCTTTATCCCCCCTACCTCCATTAATATTTCAATGGGCAATAAGAAATGACTGAGCAAATAAGACTGATATAAATTCAGTTCACTACTTGGATAGCTGAGGTAGAAGCTGCAACCTCCCCCAACTACTCTTTCAGAACTCATCTGCTAAAGCATACCTATTTGATAGAGTTCTTAATATCAAATGAATTTTTTTGTTCACAGAGGCTGACAATCCAATGTTCAAAACTACCTTCTCAGGAGATAACCAATCCAAATAACTCAAAGCAATAATCATGACAGTTCAGAGGAATAATGCAAAATGATGCTATTATTATGTTTCTAAAATAACTCATAGGTTTTGTGAGGAAATTCATGGCTCAGTGTGGGAGGTGTGTACTACTACATTTGCATAAGGCAAAGATCAATCTCCTATAGAAGTAGTTTAAGTTAATAGTGACAGGAGAGGAAATAATATGATGGTCTTCTGAATTCTTTATTCCAAAAGAGTTAAAGCTTCTCCATAGCTGAATCATAATGAGCAGTGGGACAGGGTACAGTTTATAAGATCACTGGTCCTTGGGTCAGCCTTATGTTCAAGTTCACTCTTTAAAATTTATAAGCTAGATGATCTTGGGCAAATCACTTAACTACTATGAACCTCTCAGTTTTATCACCTTTGAAAGAAATTAATTCTTGCTTTGCCTACTTCATAGGATTGTGGTGAGAATCAGATGAAATAATGGATATGAAAGTGCTTCCAAAACTGTAAAGTACCTTATAAATACAGTTTGCTGTTCTTAGAAGCACAGCTTATCTCCTTAATACATGGCTTTAAAAATACATGGAAGTGTTTATTTTAAGGAGAGACTCAATTTACACTGAGAAAGCCATCCCTAAATCACACTAAAGTGCTCTCTCAATGGAGAGAATGCACAGAAGGATTTCCTTGAACTGTCAATGCCCTTTTCATTATGAGGGCAAGCCAAGACAGGTTTCCTCACCTCTCGTATGTCAGGCATGAGCTAGCCTATTGTGGAGGAAAAACAATGAAACAATAGGAAAAGGACACGGCTATGTTCACTTGTGGTATTGCTTGTGAATACTGTAATATTTCTGGTGATTTATTCCTACTCAACTCTCATCTTTCAAGAGTGGAAAAAAAAGCACACAGCACCTGTCTTGCATTCTGGTATTTGATTAGTGGCTGACTAGGAGAGCTAAAGGCAGGATGTGTGTAATACAATATTGTTTACTTTGTTATAATGGTTGGTTCTTAAATAGTAGCTTACTGTGTTAAGGACCAAGAGAGGTCTGTAGTGAAGATCAAGGCTTATACTTCCCTGGTGATTGGATGCAGCAGAGTTTTTTCACATTTAGAGTAGTTGCCAAGCATGTAGATGGAATACCAGACAAATCATGGAAACCTAAGCAATAGATCTTGTGCTCTAGAAAGGGGCCAAAGAAGAAAAGGTAAGATGTGTAACTTGGTGAAATATTTCCTATTTGGAGAAAATTTATGTGAAAACTGTCATTTTTGCTTATAGTTTTCTTTGTGTCTCTGAATTGAAGATTTTGAAGTCTACTGTATAACTCCTAATTCTTAAAGTTATTAAATATCTGAGTTAATTAATAAATATAATTTTCTACACCACTAGGAATAAAAGCACTACTCTATAATTTAAATATTCTCAGTTATTTAGCTTCTTACTGCTTTGTCTTTTTCTTATTTCCTCCAGATTTAAAATTTATATTCTAACCATAGGATTCATGTTCTTTCCCTACTGCTTTACCTTTCCAGCTAAGTGGAGATATTCCTGGTATACAGGCTGTTGTACAACTAGTAAAGTAATAAGTAATAGCTCTGCCCACATTTATCTTTTGCTATTTAGGTTTATACAGTCCTCAGTATGGATATCTTAGTAATTGTTTTGTACGGGTGGTACTGGGGTTTCAACTCAGAGCTTTACACTTATAAGGCAGGCACTCTACTGCTCAAGCCATACCTCCATCCCTATCTTAGTAATTGTTCTGGAGTTTGGAAGTTTGGAATTGGAATGAAATTTAAAGAGAACATACTTCACTGTTTCTGCCAATCCCTGTACACATACGTAAATGGAAAATATGCCTTAACTTTTTAGAAATAGATTATGAGTGATATTTCCAAGTAGGAGAAAGATGAAAGAAAATTTTTGAGATTTCATTATAATTATGATAATCACATTTTTGAAAGGTACTTTCAACATCTGTTTCATTTGATCTTGGCAATGAGATAGTGAAGCAAGTAACAGAAGCAGCATTAAATCATGGTTCTACTAATTCCCAACCCATTGTTTGTTATACGAAATTGTAAAAAGACTCCCCATTTCATTGGTCCTATGTGAAGGTGAGTCAGTGTATTTTTCTATCCAACAGAAATTTTGTAACTTTAGACATGGAATTAGAAAGTATTTTCTAGTAACAGAGTACTTTACTAACCTTTTTCTTAGAAATAAGGAAGTTAGAATTAGTTTCAACATTTTTCAAATACATAACTGGTAAGAAGTGGGTTTTTACAATTCAACTGAACGACATTTTAAAGAATCAGTAGGAGTCAAAATGTTAGGTTTCTGAGGGCCTTGGCAAGATTGTCATAACAGAAACTTGTTTAGCTAGATTCTTTAAATAAAAGTGTCTTAAATCTTCAAGTATTTAACATGGAAGACTTGTTTTTAGTGTCTTCCCTTTTGGATACTTCTGTATTAACTATTTCAAAATGTAAAAGGGCATATGGTGAACAGTGTTATAGATTGGAGTATGTGCACATTTATTCTGGGGGGACCCTTCAGGATTTAAAAAAACTTACCCTCCAATATTTGATGAAGTAACTGAAAACTGTTGTAGCAATGTACAGGCAGTAGAGAACAGAATAAGCTAAGAACTGAAGGAAGAATTTGTAGTTGGAAAATCCAATGCAGTTATTAACCCTAAAAAAGAAAAAGAAAAAGAAAAACTAATTTGAAATCAGGACTTATTGATTGAGAATACACTGATATACAAGTGGACAAAGGAATGAAAGCATGTTACTCCTGCTGCTTCATTATGTGCCATGTAGAAACTCAACAAAGATAGATGTTCCTTAATAGGAACAGACTGGAAAAAACACATTCATATCTCACTTGTTTCTCCTTTCATCTATAGGCACAGAAAATGGATTTTGATACACCCAAGCAAACCTGGGTCTTGGTTACTAAAAACCTATTAATGTCTTAGAAGCTATACTTTCTACAGTTGTGGCATGCTCTCTATAATCAGATGACTTCAGACTGGTTCTCTAGGTCTCATATACAAAATTCATAGAATTGAGTAGCAATCTATAATATTTCAGAATCAGGCTTCTAGAAATAGAATTGAATTGCATAATGATGAAGATGAGAAATACCTGTGTTATAGTTAATTACTATGCACAATTGCTAAAATGAATGGCCAGGAGACCATTACCTTTGGTGGTATATTTATCTTACTTTAAAATATTACCCCTCCCCTATCCCACACAGAAAGCACAGTGACTCGGCAGCAGAAATAGGTGTATTACAATTATGCTTAGGAAAGTGGGCATATTGAGCAACTTTGACCCTTTTAGAGAGAGAAATTAATTGAAGGGACATACCAAGGGCAGTGATGGTCCATTTTTAAAACACACCTACAAAAGGAACAAAATACAGTGTGATAAATGAGGCTATGGAAGTGAAGCAACACCTCAAAATTGAACTCAAAGTCTCACCAATATTTTACATGCTTCCAATACACCTATTCAGATTTCTACTGTACTGACTCCAAAACTATTGTATCCTTAGTTATTCCTAGGATGGGTCAATCACAACAACACATTATAAGATTATGCTGGCAGCAAGTTATGTGCCTAGATGTCCAAACTTTAAAAGGGATTGGGAACCTCAGGATATTGATGTGTAGAAAAGGTCTAGGATGTCTCCTCTAGTTTTGCTTAGTACTCAGTTTAATAAAATATAGAAGAAAACATACAACTACAGGCTGAATTTGAATCAAAGGTAAGAAAAATATGGGTGGAATTATCACTCAAAAAGAAAGGCATGAAAATTGTATGTATTTACATTTAAATTGTGTTTTAAAAACTGGAACAATTTGAGCCACAAAATAAATAAATATTGGGTTATAGTGCAAAATGGAAACTGAATATCTATGCCTCTTTATTGACATAAATAAGTGATTGAATAAATAATTAAATAAATAAATAAAAGGGAGGAAGGAAAGGCAAATATTCCATGAAGGAAGAATTCCAAATAACTTATACAGGCACTCCAACTTCAAGGACATTGACCGTAAGTTCCCATCCTTTAGTGTGGGCAGTGCATAGTGATTTTCTTCTGAAGAGTACAATATAAAAGGAAATGGGGAGAATAATTTTACAGTGGAGAAATCTAACAGTGGAGACCACTGCCTGAGCTAACGTAGGACTATCTGTACCCTTGATATAAGAATGTACTTCACCTCTATGGTCTTCCTCCCCAGATCACATTACACCAGACAAATGATCATGAGAAAAGATAAAACAAATTTCAATTGGCCCTTGATCCTGAAAATTTGTCACAGCTTACAGGAACTAAGGAAATTCGACTACTAAATGTAATGTGGTATTCCAGATGGAATCCTGGCATAAATAAGGACATTAGGGGGAAACTAATGAGGATAATTAAAGTATAGACCAGTTAAAAATAAGGTATCAATATTGGTTTACTAATTGTAACAAATGTGCCATGTTAATGGAATGTGCTAATAATAGGAAAAAGTGAGTGTCAGATATATAAGAACTATCTTCACAATAAATCCATAAATCTAGAACTGTTCTAAAATAAAATGTTTATTTTTAAAATGTGGTTTTAGTTCTCTTTCTATCTTTAGAATACTTTGACTCCTCATCAAATCTGTGAGGGTGTTTGGCATGTGCTCATTATGACTGAAAGGAAATGCTCTTATCTAGGCATGGTTGCATATTAGAATCAGTCATTTTGTTGTCTAGGCAACTATCAGTGGCCAAGCTCAGCATGGGGAAAATACGGCTGTCACTTACACGGCACAGACAGAACAGTGGTGGCAGCGATCTGGCTTGATCAGATGGCACCTGTCACAGAATCGTACAGCTATATAAAGGAAAAATACGATGGTTAGTACTTGTTATGGGTCAACGTAAGACCTTACGTTATACACTGACTACAGATAGTCAAACTCATCTCAAGTTGCCAAACAAAAGGCAATCACATAGTAGAATTGTGGTAGGTCTATTCCTTATTGGATCAGTATGGAAAACACCTTTGAGGGAATGAAAAGAAGGGGAAATGTTTCATATTTGGATAACTGACATAGATTTTGACTACTATAAGCTGCTTGAGTGATCTTGGGAAATTGTTTAGCCTCAGTTTACTTGAACAATCCTATCTGAAAACAAGGATCCACAATTTATCTCCTGTCTCCAGGGGTTAGGCTGTTTAAGATGGATAAAACTCCTACAACATGGTAAAGAGAGTGGTTCTTAGAATAAAAATTTGGAGGAGAGACACAGCAAGATGGAGGATTAGACATATCCTTTGAATGAAAGACAAATATTGCATGTTTTGTATTGCATGTTTCGTTCATAGAAAACATGAATCTACACCTAAAATAAAATAATAATATGACATTATTTTAAATGAGAAACTGTTTGGAGGGAATCAGTGGAGAGGGGGAAAGGAGAGGGTAACGGGAAGTGAATATTATAGAAGCACATTACATACATGTATGAAAACAGCACAAAGAAGCCTACCAAAACTGTTAAAAATGATAGGGGAGTAGAAAGGGTGGTTAAGAAAGAGTAACATAGATGGGGTGAATTTGATCAAATTATATTATATGCATGTTGTAAATGGCATAATGAAACCCCTTTGTACAATTAATTTATACTCATAAATGTCCTCTGTTTGACTTTGTGAATGAGAAGAGAGAGTCATAGTAATGAAGGAAGGACTATATTCTGAAGAGAGAAAGAGAAGAACATTGAAAAATCACAAAGGAGGTGATAGTACACCTGAAAAACATGGAGAACAGAAAGACAACAGAGAAAATTAGAGCACAGTTTGCATCTTCCCTGGGGGATGAAGAGGGTAGCCAAAGTCATAACTATGATGTAAGCCAGATGGTCCTTGCAAGAGACTGGCAATTCTACCTGGGCTTATCCTCAGGCCCACACTTCCAGCAAACCTTAAACCCACTGCAGGAATTTGGTGTAACAGTGACTGCTCCTGTATGGTAGGCTAGCCTGAAAGAAGAAAGACATTTTGTCATTCCCCTTAGCTTGTAGAGCTATAGCAAGGCACCATCTTTAAAGGGGCCTACTGTTTGAGACTGAGAGACTCTGGGGACTTCAAAGCCAGGAACAATTACAGCACAGGGATTCTGATGACACCCTGCCATAGAGTCTGGGTGGGAGATGGCCATGAGAGGTGGTCATGAATAGGAACAGGGTCTGACATAGAGAAGATTAAACAGTGGGGAGCTTGACCAGTGTAGAGTGTGGTGCTCAGTGGCCTTGCCTTCCCTGACAAGGAGTGACTTCCATCACCTAAGGATCACTGTGGAAACAGAAACAGAGCATCAGTCCCATGGCTGACATAGTTCTCAGCCTCCAGGAACTGCCTCCCAGATACATTTCATCTCACAGAGACTTAGATCACTGAACCCAGGTCCCATGAATCACATGATTTCCCTAGTTCCCCCCTTCCCACAGGGTAATGAATTGCTGAGTGGGGTCTGTAAGCACTGAGACTGTCCTTTGTGAGCTATCTCTTGGCAACATATGTTTGCTGCCAGGTAGGACTAAGAGCTCTCGGCCCAGGATACACAGATCACATGACTTCCTCCAGCCTCCTCCTGCCCACAATAAGTACAAAGGGAATATGCAAGACCTCTAAGACACCATTAGAAGACCAAAACTACAAATCATGGGCACAGAAAACATTTTCAATAAAGTAACAGCAAACAAGTTCCAAAATCTTGAGAAAGAGATGGTTATCCAAATACAGGGGGCATTTAGGACTCCAAAAAAAAAAAGACCAGAATAGACTCATTTCATATTATAGTTAAAACATTAAGAATATAGACAAGAAAAGAATATTAAAATATGCAAAAGACAAATGCCAAGAGATATATAAAGGAAAACTCATCAAAATAACAGTATATTTCTCACAAGAAACTCTAAAAGCAAGGAGGGCATGAAAAGATGTATTTCAAGTCCTAAAAGAAAACAACTACAAACCTAGATCAAATGTATCAAGCAAAGCTATCCTTTGTAATTGAAGAAGAAATAAAAACCTTCCAGAAGGTCTAGAGGAGTGGCTCAAGTGGTAAAGTGGCTGCCTAGCAAGTGTGACACCCTGAGTTCAAATTCCAGTACTACCAAAAAAAAAACAAAACCTACAGTAAGAAACAAAAACCAAAGCAATTCATGACCACTAAGCCAGCACTACATAAGATACTTAAAGGAACCCTACACATAGAAGAGAAATGGACCCACAAAAATAAAGGAAAAATAAGTCCTATAAGATGAGTAGGTAAGCAAATGAAGAATAGGGAAGAATCAAACACTACAAAACAAAAAAGACAGCAATTTCTATTTACCTTTCAGTAGTAACTGAATGTTCATGGTCTCAATTTCAATTCAAAGACAGACTGGCAGATTGGATTTAAAAAAAAAAAAAAAAGACCCAACCATTTGTTGACTACAAGAGAAGCACCTCACTAGCAAAGACAAATACAGGCTTAAAGTGAAATAATGGAAAAAGATATTCCAAGCAAATGGAGCCTGAAAGCAAGTATAAGTAGTTACACTCATGTCTGACAAAGCAGATTTCAAAACAAAATTATGCATAAGAGACAAAGAAGGCCACTTCATGTTGATAAAAGGCAGAACCCGGCAAGAGGGTATAATAATTATAAATCTATACTAACTAAAATCAGTGCATGTAATTTCATAATACAAACATTACTGGACATAGAGCACAAATAGACCCCAACACAATAATAGTGGGTGATTTTAACACCTCACTCTCACCAACAGATAGTTCATGCAGACAAAAAATCAATGAAGAAACATCAGAATTAAATGACACTGTTGATGTGAGCTTAACAAACATCTACAGAATATTCTACCCAACAGCCACAAATTTTTCTTAGCAGCCTCTTGAACTGTCTCCAAAATAGGTCATATTTTAGGACATAAAACAAGTCTTAACAAATTCAAGAAAACTGAAATTACTTCTTGTGTTTTTATCAGACCACAATGGAATAAACTTAGAAATCAACAAGAGATACTACAGAAAATATTCAAGCACATGGAGATGAAAAGGACACTTTTGAATGAAGGAAAAAAGGGAGAATAAAAAATTTCTAGAATTGGATGAAAATGAAAACATAATTTACCAGAACCTTTGAGACACAGCAAAGACAGTGCTAAAAGGAAAGTTCAAAAATCAGAAGGATCACAAATAAATAACCTAATGGTGCACATGGTTCTTAGAAAAACATGAACAAACCAAACCCAAAAGCAGTAGACTGAAAGAAATAATAAAGATTGGGGCAGAAATTAATGAAATGGAGACTAAAAAATAATGAGGGGAATCAACACAAAAGTTGGTTCTTTGAAAAGATAAATTAATAAACCCTTAGCCAAACTAACTAAAAAAATGATGGAGAAGACCCAAATTAATAAAATTGGAGATGAAAAAGAAGATACAACAACTAATACCAATAAAATTCACAGGATCATTAAGGAACATTTTGAAAACTTATAATCTAATAAACTGGAAAATCTAGAAGACATGAATAAATTTCTAGATGTATATGATCTACCAAAATTGAACCAACAGAATATAAAACACTAACATGAAATAGAATTGAAGCAATAATAAAGAATCTCCCCCCACACAAAAAAATAAAACACAGGATTGGTCAGATTCACAGCTGAATTCTACCAGACCTTAAAGAAGAACTAACACCAATGTTTCCCAAACCATTCCATAAAATAGGAAGGGAAGGAACGCTACCAAACTCATTCTATAAAGCAAGTATTATCCAGATACCAAAACCAGGTAATGATATACCGATAAAGAAAATTACAGACCAATTTTCTTGATGAATATACATGCAAAAATTCTCAATAAAACACCAGCAAACCAGATTCAACAATGTATTGAAAGATCACACACCATGATGAAGTTGACCATTTCAGGGATGCACGGATAGTTCAACACATGCAAATCAATAAACAAAATGCACCACATAAACAGACATGATTGTCTAATAGAGTCAGAAAATGACTTTGACAAAATTAAACTACCTTTCATGATAAAATCTCTGAAGAAACTAGGATACAAGAAGAGTGTATCAAAATAATAAAGGATATGTATAGTAAGCCTCTAGCCAACATCATAGTAAATGGGGAAGAAAATGAACCATTTCCTCTAAAGTCAGGGATGAAACAAGGGTTCCCACTCTTTCTTCTCTTATTCAATTTAGTGCTTTAATTCTTTGCCAGAGCAATAAGGCAAGAGAAGGAAATAAAAGGATACAAATAGGAAAGGAAGAAGTCAAATTGTCCTTCTTTGCAGATGATATGATCCTATACTTAAAAGACCCTAAAGATTCCACCAAAAAATCTCTTAAACCTGATGAATACTTTTGACAAAGTAGCAGTATACAAAACCAACATACAAAATTAAGTAGATTTAAAAAAATAATGAATAGGTTGAGGAAGAAATCAGGAATATAATCCAATTCACAATAGTCTTAAAAATACCTAGTAATGTACCTAAGGATGTGAAAGATCTCTACAGTGAAAGCTATAAAATATTGAAAAAGAAATATAAGAATACACTAGAAGATGAAAAGACCTCCCATGTTCATGGATCAGCAGAATTAATATTACAAAAATGGCTATAATACTGAAAGCAAACTACAAGATTCAGTGAAATTCTCATCAAAATTCCAATGTCATTCTTCACAGAAATAAAAAAAATCAATCCTAAAATATATATAGAAGCATAAAAGACTCAGAAAAGCCAAAGTAACCCTGAGCAAAGAGGGCAATGCTGGTATCTCAATAACTGACATT